TCATATCATTTTTATTAGTTTTTATATATGTTAAAGCATTTGACTGACAGGAAAATATTTGCAAGTGCTTATTCCTTAGTCGGATGTCAAAAGGGCTGTGGAGTCAGAGTCGGGCAGATTTTGGTAAAAAGAGTCTGAGCTGGAGTCGCTAAAAACAGGTTGACTCAGACTCCATGGACAGTTTGAATATGAAATGAAATTAAAATGAATTGAAAAAAAATAATGACAAACTGAGTTATTTTTATTTATGGATTATATACATTAATAAACAGTTTTCTATTTTATTGACATATTAATAAATAAATATAAGGGAGGAAGATGGATGTGATATTTGCCATTAGTGATTAAATTCATTTAGTTACAAATTTCACTTGTAAATTTAAGCAGCAACAACTCCCAAAATTGATGCCATTCTTAGGAAGCGAGCAGGAAAAGGAGCAATCATTGATCAAGCAACGAGATGAGGAAGTACATATTTGATGATAAAGAGGTTGTTAGAATTAAGAACTTTTTTAGAATATGTAGATAACTCTAATGTTTCACTAACAGAAAAACTGTGGAATGACCTAGCAGAATTGGAAAACTTCTTCCTACATCATATATAGCCACGAAAAAGCTGCAGTCTGAAGAAATGACAGGAGGTGAGATTGGAAGAATGTGATGCTTGTTCTTTCTGATATGGAGGGTTTATTGCAGAAGGAATCATTTCTTCAATGAAGAAAAGAGAAACTAGTTTGTTAGACAATGAGATCTTGCTGGGTTCAGTATATATAGATTTGAAACACTGAATTTTCTTGGATGACTAACAAATTTAAAAGGCAAAGAAAACCACCTATGAACTTTTATTAAGAATGAAATTATTCTCAGAACAATTGGAGAATTCGAATCAGGACAGTCAAACTGCAGACATTGCAATTGAGTCTCTATCATCCTTTTCCAGTTATGAATTAGATTTTGAAAAATATTTTTGGATAATATTGAAAAGGCTAAGGCAAAGTGAATGAAAATAAAGAACCAAGAGCCTTTAGATGTGATCAACAAACAAAATTTCTACATGGCCTTTGAAGAAACAGAGAAATATGATTGCTCTTGCAAGACACCTGTTTTAGAACTTATAAAAATCTATCCTGAAATGTTAAGTAGCCTTAACAGTAACAGCTCTTCCTCCTACTCAAAAGGAAAGGCTCTTCTCAGCTCTGAAGTTTATCAAATCGGATCTATGATCCTCCAACAAAGATCTTGCCGAAGCTATGCTGCTTCTTAGAAATAACCAATGCCAGTTTTTCCATTTTGTAATAAATGCTAATTAATATAAATAATTTGCTATGCCATCAATTTTTTCTGTAGCATCTATTACTTCTTTTATATTAAAAAAAATAAGCTGTAACCCATATGTTACACATGAGGGAGTCGAAGTCGGACATTTTCCCTACCGACTCCACAGCCCTGTTTTAAATCATTCATTATATTTTAAAATTATTTATACTAACTATTCATTCTTTGCAGAATCCCTAAGGGACTTAATTTCTACACTTTTATAACATGAAACTAATCCAGTTTATTTTAGATTTGACAACTTAATTGTATAACTGCAAATCAAAAATTTTAAGTGATTAACTTTAGATGTGTGTAAAAGTAAATGTATTAAATTTAGAACATTTTTCTCCCCCGGAATTAGAAGATGAAATTATGAAGTTGTTGTGGAAATAATTTATATACAAAAACAAATACTTTATAAAATACAGCCAATTAAACATGTAAGTGGCAAAAGATTATTAAAATTTTACTTTTAACAAAATATTTATGCAAATACAACATGTGAAATATTTCAGCCTCTATACAACATAATTTCTGTACACGGGAGGTTCACTTTCTTATATTCGAAGTTTCATACAAATTTCACAGTGAAAGTCTGTTAATCACACCTTTAATAAACAAATAATGTCATCTCTTATGGTGACAACTTCTGAAGAAGATCAGCATTTCTGACAACATAAACAAATATTAATATCGAATATGTTCTAAAACATTAAGGTCAGTCTCTGTTATTTCAAATTTAGCTAATCTATAGTATTCAGCATATTCATTTATATTCTTATGATTTTAAGCTAGATATAATTACATCTTCCTCAGTTAATAGTCAGGTTGTATTTTCAGGTTTGATTATTTTATGAAACTTTGTTTCAATGATGATTAATCCCATATAGTCATTTGATTCTTCTGTAATGCTGGCCATAAATAAATAAATTACAAAACTTGTAACAGACTTGATGTTACAAGGAAGGACATTATGATTTTGATCTTTACTATGACTTCTTCCTTCCATATTCTTCATAGAATGCAAATTACCTTTTAGTGTATTTAAATTGAGGGTTTTTGAATCTTGGATAATTTCTAGTACTTGCATAAAAATGTTAAAATTTTGTGAACTCTTGTCTAAAAGTAATTATCTTGACTTTGCATTCTCTCACACCCAATACTTTAAATCTGCCCTGATAAAATACTGAACCAATTTATGTAGCTTGGTTTATTTGACTGTGTAGTCTGAAACTACTTTATCAATATTTAAAGCTATTTGCCTGTTAATCTGCATAGTTTTTAATTTAGTGGCTCTTGTCTGCAACACAAGCTGTGCCTTTTATTTTACAAGTTGAAGATTAAATAATAATAATAATAATAATAATAAAAAATGTAAAACCTTGATAAGTCTTTGTCATACTATTTTAGACATAGCGGTAACTTGCTAACCTGTCTACTAGGGTTGTTCCGAAAGCAATTGCACCTTGCAACTTGTTTATCTTATTTTAGGAAGTAAAAGGGCAAGGGGGGTTAATTTGAAGTTATAGAACTTCAGTTATTTGGAATAAATGCTACCATACCCCACATGAGTAATCGGAAAATTTTGATAATGGATTTCTGTTATTTTTTAGGCCTATATTCAAATGCTTATGAAGAACATTTTATTTTTTCAATTACCTAAATTCATTTCCACAAAGATTCTGCAATTAAAAGAATAAAAAAATTTTTTTTCATCAAACAATATATAAAAGCACTGGACCAATGTTCGGAATTATGATTTGACGTTTCTGGCTTTCCCGAATTCACAAGCCATTTCTGTTTTATTTAAAACTGAACCATAAAATTAATTTTTAATTACACAGACCTTAAAACAAAATGTATATCTTTATTTTTACTATAGCAAAATTTAAAAATTCCTAAATTTACATTTGCATAAAACAAAATGCACAATTTATTTTTATTTATGCTATTACTCTTAAAAAAAGAAGCACTTATTAAGCTTAATCAAAGATTGGCAGCTCTTTTAAATAATTATGGGTGGCATATGACAGTTATGTGTCTTAACATCATATTCATGTTACACTAGGCAAATGCCTTAACATTTTAAATATAGTAGATATGAAAAATGCTTTTCTGTTAATGATGATAAGCTGTATTTACTAAATATCTAATCCCATGTAGTTAAAATATACATGTTTGCAAATGATATGTAATGACACAGGACAGTTTATTGAATTTAATGAGATAAATACCTATGATATGTTTATTAGTTTTAATAAATTATCTTTTTTTGGAAGATAATAAATGTATACATGTTCATCTAAATTAATTCAGTAGTTCTTTAAATATTGTATTCTTTATCATTTTTGCATAACTTAAATAAATACAAAAATTAAAAATGCAAATAAATTTAAAGCAAACTTGAATTTGCACAGTATGTAAGGAAGAATAAGTGATTTGAGATTTTATAGCACAATTTTGTTCCTTAAAATTTCCAATGAATTCAGTTTTTACTGTATACAAGGCTTTTTTTTTATCATGGATTTCCAATTATGCACACATTATAAAAATTTTCAGCAGTAATGGAAAAAAGTACCACCAAAATAAAACATAAAAAATTTGTATTTATTTAATTTTTTACAGAGATATTTATTTTTATGTGATTGTGCCATACGAGGCTAGTTAACCCACTGATTTTTAATTTTTGTATTTATTTAAGTTATGCAAAAATGATAAAGAACACAATATTTTGAAGAACTACTGAATTAATTTAGATGAACATGTATAGATTTATTATCTTGCAATAAAAGATAATTTATTAAAACTGATTGTGAGTTATCTATTAGTCCCCCTGCTGTCCATTTGTGACATTATAAAATTACGAGGGCAATCCCAAAAAAAAGGTCTCCTATTTTTTGGGGATGTAGAGAAAGTTTTAATACGGTTTTTGTTGGCACACTGTTGTGGTGGTGGCCTTTTCCGCTACCAGCACGCACGCAGGCGCTTTGCTCGGATCCTCAGTCTGGCTTGGCAGCCATTTCGAAATGGAGCTCCCGATAAACGTTGCCGCCAAGAGCGAAGTGTGCGCAGTTATTCGATTTTCGAACGCAAAAGGCGTTAAACCGGTTGAATTTCACCGCCTATTGACGGAAGGTGTATGGACAGTCATGCATGGATGTCAAAAACGTTCGCAAGTGGTGTAGAGAGTTTCCAGCCGGTCGTACTGAAATTCATGACGAAGAAAGGAGCGGGAGGCCGTCAATTGCCGATGACTCAACTTTTGCGATTGTCTTGTTGAGTTCGTATTTGTTGAGTTTCGCGATTGTTGAGTTCGTAAAATGCGTAAAGATCGGAGGATCATCTGGATGCTCCTGAAGCTCCTCAACATTTCCTGAAGGGCATGGCGGCAAGCTGGTATGACATGGGCATTGTAAAACTGCCACAGCGTCTACAAAAACGCATCGACCGAAATGGCAATTATGTTGAAAAATAAAGCATTCTTCAATCTTTAAAGTGATGTAGCAATTATAGAAAATAAACGGTTCTTTGTATATCTAAAAATATAGGAGACCTTTTTTTGGGATTGCCCTCGTACTTGTGTATTTTTATAGTGTGTTAACAAATTACGATGTGATCCAGAAGGGAAAAAATAGCTCATGCTTATGAAAAGGTTGGATAGTCCTGGTGTAGATGAATAGTTATAAGGTTTAAATGACTTTATACATATTTCAATACAAGAATAATGTAATTTTTTCAAAATTTCAAAATAGGAAAAATATCAGTACATTGATTGTCACATTATAACATAACCAATTATTTATATGCATTATGCATTTTAAGAGCAAAATCCTAAAAATCTTTACCTGTAGCTCTTTAAAGTACCTCTACAAAATAAATTAGGTCTGCTTAATATTATACTAATAATTCAGAACATTTCTACACTTATATTTAAATAAAAATAATAATTATTAACAGACAGACTCCTTTGATTTTAAGAGTGGGATATCTACATTACAAATACATTTCAATACATTTCTCTTATCAAATTTATTTAATATATATTTCAAAAGAAACATAACAAATGTTAGCAAGGAAATGTACAACATAAATAGTTTTAAGAATCAATAACTTCAAAATCACTAGGATGAAACATCGCATCAAATACAAAATTCTATATATTAGAAAGTCATACTCGGTTCCATATTAGTTTCAGCAGACAGCTTTGGAATTGAAAGTGATTTTTAGAAATAAAATTTCTATGGTCCCAGATACAGATAAAAATGAAGTAGACAAAAGCAGAATTTGACTATGCAGGACTGATACAAGTTAATATAACGTTTTTGCACCCAATTTTTCTAGCACTTTGAGTCCTTTCTCTAAATATTCTTCTCTAGACAACCAAAATGAATCTTTGTCTTTCACAACATCTGCTAATACTGAACCACCTATGAAAACCATATCTTTCCTTCTGGGAGGATCTTCAATACGTATTTTAAATTTCTAGAGAAGAAAAAAGAATATAATTAACAAAATTATTTTGATATGTTCTTTTCTTCCAATACATGGGAATACAAATTTGGTACTTTTCTGTTATCAGAACCGGATTCAGAAATGTATGTATATATGTACGGATGTATATATATATATATGATATAAATTTATTTCCTAAACAGTATTGATTAATTGATTATATTATCTCCTAAGTTTAATTAAAGTAGAAGTTCATGAACACATACATACATGCATACACATATTTCCTAAATCCAGTCCCGATAACAGTACCACAGATTTTTCTAGATCAGCAATTTTGCACCTAATAGAAATTTAGCTATACAATAGGAAATTTTTGTAATATTCAATCATTCCCTAGATTATAATAGATTAACATCATTTCAATCAATAAGATATAAGAATGTTTGAAACAAAATTACAAATAGCAATGGATGTTAAAATTAACAATTACAGTTAATAAAAAGTAGCTGACACTTGTTTATTTTCATTAAACATGCAATTTCAGAGTAATAGGCATTGAATGTATTTAGCAGCTTTTAGCGCTAATTACCTAACTAGATTTTCTCATTTCATATAAGTAACTACATTTTTCATGTTCTAATAGTTTGGTTATTTTTTTCTTTCTTATTTCTTTAGTTTCCTGGTATAATTTTTATGCACATTGTTCTAACTTTTAATTAAACAAATTTATTAACAATATCTATTTTTATTATAATAGTTATCTTTAAAAAATATCCAAATAGATTTTAGTGGATTAAATTAGCAATACCATTTAGATTCTCAGTTTAATATTTGCTTACACTTTATTTACATATGCTTTCTGAATTTGAATGATACTGCAAATTAGTTCGCACCAATAATTAATCTTTTATTTGTTTACAATTGAATTTTTATAATTTTAAAGATTAAAATAACTTTACATGAATGAGATAATGTTTTTGTGCTTGTTAAATTCATGATATACCATTCTTATCTTTTATGTGAATATCTTTCATAATAAATAACTTCTCCCCCTAAAAGTAAGACTAACAATGAAATACCATTATGTGTATTCTAAAAGTAGGAAATTTTATAATTTAAAATAGAATCTGGCAAAATTAAACATTTTAAAAAGGCTTTTGAGAAAAAAATATGAAATTCATGATAAAAATTTTCAGGAGTATAAAGATGTAGAGAAACATAATTTTCTTTTAAATTGCATTTTTCACTGTAAACTGATACAGAACCATGTTATACAAAACCGTCACTACTAGTCACATGTGATGAATGCATGGTAGTTTTCTGTTATCAGGACCGGACTCATCGCCAAATGTTTTACTAAACTTGCCATTTTGCTTTACCACAGTAATCTTCTGCATATGACAATATTTGAATCCATTCCCCCCAAAACAGATGTACACTTGAAATATGGCTACTGCATATAGAAAAATTAATCAAGTCCATAAAAATTACATTTAACCTATTACATGCATTTCGAGTTTTGTCATTTAAATATTTTTTTCATTTTGCATTAAGTTAACTTTTACCCTTTTGACCCTATATTGCGAGATCTTTAATATGCTTAAAAAAGATGGTTTTTTTCTTATTTCTTGTTGTCCTTCTTTTGTAGTGAAATGATTTTTAAAATGGGGTATTTGCCAACCACGAACAATGAAAAGTTAAAAATTGGGAAAACCAGTACTATAAGTAAAGCTTTTTATGGAATAAGTGAATTTACAGAGATATCAAAAGTTTATCTTGCTGTCTATTATTAAAAGGTAGAAAAAACATACCCAATATATTTGACCTAGCTATCGTTTATAAGCTTTTAACAACTTGACTATAATGGATCGAAAGGGTTCCTATCAAAGCTTTGACCGCATGTGCCTATAAGTTCTTTCTATCTGATACCTGCACAGTCCCTGAATTACTTACACACACATTGGTACTTATTATTTATTTGGTACTCACACACCACAAACCACCTACTGGTGATGAAATTAGGTATTTAAATGTTTGGCAGGTAATTACTGCAAAATAACTGTTATTCTCTGCATCTTCCTTTTGCCTCCATCTGAATTCTGATAATTAAGATAACAAGTGATGGTGAACTGCATTATATTGTCGCTTATTCTTTCATTTCGCAGATCTCCATATGCGTTCCATTGTTTATGCATGAAAACCAGCTTTAGGACTAAAACTGACATAAAAATATACTTTTCACTTAAAAAAATTGTTTTTATAGAAGAAATGGAACAGCTTCTAGAATTGTTTATGCTAATAAAGAATTGTCAGCCAGGGTATTTTTGGCAGTGGATGATATCGGATAACCAACAAATAGCATTACATTAATAAATGAGTTTCAAAGGATTTTCTTTTCTTGACAATAGTGGACAATTATCTTTAGTGCCAATTTTATGCTTATTATCTTTTGTATAAAGATGTAAGCAATCAAAGTCAATCAGTGATACTTATCTTGTGATTCGGCGATACTTAATCAATTCGTCCTTTTTTCCCAAATAAATTTATTTGAAAAGTAAAAGATGACATTTTGGAAATGCAAAAGATAAACTTTCATTTACTGAGTTAGTGTAAATAGGTAAGTATTTTGATCTTTTTTTTTTTTAATGCTTTAAATTTATATATTAAGAATTTGTACAAAATTAATTACACCTTAAGGAATATAAAACAAATACTAGTACACATTACATAAATTTAAGCCAATAAAATCTGACACTGTAATTTACCCCAAAATAAAAATCTGATATGGCTTATATATGTTAATAATTATTATTGGTATGCACGTCTAAGTTAAATATGAAAGTATAATGAATCAGAAAAATATCATTTAAATGTGATTAATTTATTTATTAAATTAAAAACTGAATTAATTTATTTATTAAATTAAAAACTGAACTAATACACAGAATCTTCCTAATTAAGTAAATTTTTTATGAATGTTTAGGCATACATGAATAGATATATATTTTAATAACATACAAAAAATATAGTTTACTTACGGATAGCTTTTCTGTGTCACCTCGTAATACTCGTTCAAGATACAGTTGTTTAATTTCCCTTTCTAATCGACTAGGCAAACCAGGATACATAGTAGATCCTCCAGATAATACAATATGCTTGTATAATTCTGGTCTTATGTCTATATCAGCAGCTTGTATAGTATTAAAAACTAGTTCTGCTATGCCTTGGCCTTCTACATTAATAAGATGGGGTTGAAATAAAGCTTCTGGAGCTTCAAATCTTTCTCCTCCAAGTTTTATAACTCGCCCATCTGGGAGCTGATGGAATTGTGAAAAGGTGTGTAAATATAATTTAAGATACAAAACATTTTGAAAGAATTAAAAATCATATCAACTAAAATGACAAGGGTTAAATAATTAAAGAGAGACTTATGTCAAATATCATGGAAGAAAAACATCATTTTCAATAGTTATCTACATCAGAAATGCATGTAATATGGCATTACTCAACTTTTTACTTTGAAAAAATTCCAAATATATCAAATTTAATATAATATTTTGTTTCAAAAAAGGAAATGTTAACTAATAAACAAAGAAATTTTTTATTATAATCCATTATTTTGAGATAGCTAAACCAAAATGTTTTTAGCTCCCTTTTTTGGGGGAGATAGTTTAAAGGCTCATTAATTTTTATAAGTAACTTTTTTGCATAGATAGTCTGCATTTACAGACTGTCTATGCAAAAATATACTTTTTTACATTTATAGTCTGAAATCTCAAAGAAATATTTACCACTAAAAAGTTTAAAATATCATGTAAAACAAGAAGAACAAAAACTATTCTATACCAGTTATACAATATATGGCATTAAAAACATCTTTTATTAATTACATCAAAGCTGAAAATATTCACAAAATCAACAGTTATATATTGTATTTTAATTTATATCAGTTAGACACAATATTAAAATATTTGATCTGGACACCACGTTTTCCTTGTACAGCTTATTAAATTATACACACTTTTTGCTGCATTTCATTTAAACTTATTTCCTAAAACATCATTAGAGATATATTTTTCATTCAATACATCCAGTTAGTTCTTGCTTCGCGGCAAAGCAAAAAACTCAAAACATCTTCATTAAAAATTGTAAAATACAGGAAAACATAAAACACGAAATAAAGTTAAAAAATGTTATTACAATTAAAAGCAGAGTTCCCACACAAAAACAAGCAATTTGACCAATGGGCAGCAAGACATTTTCTTCAGTGCACAGAACTGAAAAAGTTTACTTTTGGTGCCAGTCATGAAAAAAAAAAAAAAAAAAAAAAAAAAACTGAAGTTGGTGCAGAAACTCACTTATTTCACTATTACGTTTGATAGCATTTTAACAACTTTTAAATTGTTGATAATTTTACAACTACGCACAATTTACCAACATATGAGACTAACAAGAAAAACTGAGCTCACCAAGCTTGGTAACAGAGTGTGTGTATGTATTTATATATGTTTGGTGTAGCCTATTGCAACCAAAAAAGGAAGTGCATAACTACATGTTACAGCAGCAAAATATACAAAATTTCAATTTTTTAAGGCTACTTATGTTTTAGCTGTGCAAGATATATATGTAGATACAGACATAATGAAACAAATCTCTTCTGAATCCATTTTGGGGGGGGGAGAAGTGTCCTTTATTTTGTCCGTATGTACAGACATCATGCAAAAGCATCGTTCATATAAATATTTTATTTGACATATGATACCCGAAATGTTTTCATAATTACAATACTTCGTTTACCTCGTACAAGGGAGTAAAAATAAAACAAGTGTTTAAATTATTAAGAAGTGCATTTATCACTTTTAAATTGCTCATTTTTTATTCAATAATATATTAATAAATTAAAGTTCTTATGCTTTGCTGAATGACAATATTCTAAGATTTGCTATGCATGAGGATGGATGGAAAATAAATTATGAATTTTTTTGATTTAGTGTGTATATGTGTTTTTTATTTGATTGCTTCTATATTCTTTCCATTCTTTGTGAATAAATTTACGAAGCATTATGTGTCTATGGATTTTATTTTGCCTGGATGTTATTTTATAATTTAATTGAAAATGATACAATACCTTTGAGGGGAAGCATATAAGATTTACTATTATAAAATGTTATTCATAATTTAATCAAAAAAGGCTTCATGAACTCAAAGGAGTATTACTTAACGTGACATTACTAACAGTCTATGAAGACACTCAACATAGTTTCTGTTTTAAGACATCTTATAATTGCATAATGTTCTTATTAATATAATATAAGCATACTATAAATAAATTATTTGGAAAATATTTGCAGGTTTACAAACATTTATTTTATTACTATAAAATTTTTCGTAAAGCTACAATGCTTAGCAGGGAATATGCCTATAGGGATATATTGCTTACAAAGCTTTTAATGTTTACAATACATTATTTACAAAATAAAATTTTGGGCCATTTGAAAAGTTCTGCAGTTTTACAAATCAAAGCTTGTTTTCTTCTATTTTGCTACTGCTGATACCGAGTGACCTTGATCAAAGCGGATGTTTAAAAATATGCCCTTTTCTGCTCACCTGCTTAATTTTAGCATGTGCTGTGGAACAGTTTTTGTTTCAGTGCAGTATTAAAAATGGAGAATCCAAAATTTTTAAATTCATTATTGTCATATCATCCTCTTTTATTTAGGAAAAGGGGGAAAAATGCTCATAAAATTTCTGCTATAAATTAAAGAAGTGCTGTTTCTGATATCAGCCCAGGCAGCATGCATTCGTAAATTGCACGAGAAAAATACGTGCAATTTACGAATGGCCTTTCGTATAAAAAACGTTCAAGTTGAACGTAAAAATATCATAAAAAGTGTCCAGTGGCAATTACTAAATATTTACGTATATTTTTACGTTATACAATACGTAACTTTTACGTAAAATTTAGGTATATTTACGCGAGAGACTACTGTTCATTCGCTACTTTTACGTATAATATACGTAAATTTCAGGGATTTACGTATATTTTTAGTAAAAATTTACGTATATTTATCGCATATACGTAAATCTCAATTTTTTGCTTCACGTATGCGTATATATTTAGTAAAAATTTACGTAAATTTCCCCGATTTTTTACTGTATATAAACGTATATATTAGGTAAAAATTAAGGTAGATATTCCCCGTATTTTACGGTACAAAAACGTATATATTTGATAGTAATTGACCTAAATCTTCCCTATGTTTTCTTTGCATATGCGAATGACTGGTAAAAATTTAATCCGATGTATTCTCCACTTTACTGTGTATAAATGCACATTTTTTGGTAAAAAATTTGCATAAATCTCCAATTACCTTTTCACTGCATTTTTCATAAAATGTACTTATTTTAATCTCATATTTTTTATATAAATCTATGCAAAAACTTTCTGTATGCTATGATTAAAAGGTAAAATAATTTTTATATCAAATTCTTACATATCTGCCTTTTAGTTATGTACAGCAATATGGAATATATATAACTGGAAAATTTAAATGCACTAGTAAATGAAAAAAAAAAAAAAAAAATTCTATTAAAAAATTATGTAACACTTAAAGGCTGAAAATTACTTTTAATATTTCATTTCAAAGTGACTACAAAATATGCAATAAATTTCGTAAACATCAATTCTGTGTTTTAAATCAATTAATGCTATCGTTCATTTGCATTTTTGTTTACTAAATTCATTTCATAAATTTAAATTTAGTAAAACAACTGTAGCAAACAGTTGTTTACTAAATAACACTTTAAATAAATTATTTGCTTTTCCGAAGGACATTTTCTTATGCCATGTAAATGAACGATAGCATTAATTGATTTAAAACATAGAACTCAGGTTTACAAAATTTATTGCATATTTTGTAGTCACTTTGAAATGAAATATTAAAAGTGATTTTCAGCCTTTTAGTGTTATGTAATTTTTGAATAGAAATTAATTTTTTTGCATTTAAATTTTCCAGTTATATATATTCCATATTGCTGTACATACCTAAAAGGTGGATATGTAAAAATTTGATATTAAATTAATTTTATCTTTTAATCATAATATGCAGAACATTTTTGCATAGATTTATATAAAAAATAAGAGATTAAAATAAGCACATTTTACGAAAAATGCAGTAAATAGGTAATTGGAGATTTATGCAAATTTTTTACCAAAAATGTGCACTTATACACAGTAAAGAGGAGAAGACATCGGACTAAATTTTACCAAAGTCATTCGTATATGCAAAGAAAACATAGGGAAGATTTAGGTCAATTATTATCAAATATATAAGTTTTTATACCGTAAAATACAGGGAATATCTACGTTAATTTCTATCTAAAGTACAATATAGTTAATTAACACAATTCAGTAAACGAATGTAGCACAAAAGAAAACAACATACGTTTAGATTATTTGAATGAGTGTGCTAAATTTTAAAATTGTTAAATATAGACCAGGAAATTGTATAAAACTTACCTTTTCCAATAGTTTACCAAGTTGACTTGTTATTTTCCTTGAAGATGAATGTTTAATGTCACAAATATTTCATTCATATCTTCAGATAATACACAAATATATACATATTTATTTATTAAAATTCAGTTTATCCCAAACATGTTAAAGAAAATATTAATTTGCATGCAAGTTAATCGAGTAACTTCTGTTTTAATTACACACATAATTATGATATGTAAAAATTTTACATTTATCAGTCAATCTTGCAATGTATTGTAATCTATTATTGTTGTCTTTTTCAGTTTAAAATCTTATAAATATATTAGATCAGTACTAAAAGTTCACCTCTACAAAAGAAATGCTTTATTGAGGTATTTTTAAAAAGTTCCCTTTTACAATGTAACTGTTAATTTCATAAATAAGTTCATAAAATTATGCAAATTCAAAATTACCTAAATATGTTCTTTATTTTATCTTATATACCAGATAAAATTTTAAAAAGTTAATTTGTTTAGGAATATTGAATTTTTTAATATTTATCTCATGTGACTTTTTCTATAACATCATTATAAATGTACATGTTGATGTGGACATACCAATTATTTTTTTTCATCAAATAGCTTTATGGTATTAAATGATTTAAAAAGAGGCAACTGGACAAAAGAAAGCAATTAGAAGTTGGCTAATTTTTTATTAATTTGTTGTCAAATGCTGTGCATTTTAGATTATGCTCATATGATGACAATGAGTTATTTAAATTATAAAATTATTATGAACATATCCCACATAAATTAACAAGTATAAAATTTCAAGTTGTTT